TATCAAAATAAACTGTAACTGATAAACAACTAAAAAACTAAAGGTTTATCAGTTTAACAAATACTAGCACATTTAAAAAGAAGATGGTAAGGTATACGCCATTCAGGCAAATGTGTTCTTAATTCATGGGACTGACTAAAAAGGATCTTGAAATAGAGATGCAAGAGTTCAGCAAAAATGCGAATGCAGTTTGCTGTTGCAGTTGCTACAAAAAAGAAAATAAAATAAAATGTTGGGGATCCTAAGAAAGGAGAAATAAAATTGCAAATATTATTGTTTTCTAAAACGTAGTCTCCTTTGAATCAAACTTTTTTTGTGTAATTTCAGATCCATTTAGTTTTCTTGGCAATAATTGAAAAGAGGTTTACCACTGCTTTCTTCTACAGTGTTTTTCAACTTCCTTTCTAATCTACAGTCTCCATTTTCCATGGAAGCCTTTCATCAAAGTACTAATCAGGCCCAACACACTTAGGTTCCAAGGTCTGACAGGTGCTGTTACACATATCTCTGGGGAGCTTAAATGAGGAAAATTAGTTTTGATCATATCTCAAACGGGATATTGCAGAGGTGAAAAAGTGCAGAAAAGTGCAACTCATGTGATCCAGACAGCCACTGAACATCAAGTAACTCTCTTCTTTCTGATTAGAAAATGGTACTTACCAAGCAGTCTCAAAGAGGTTTTGGAAACAGCTGATGCAGATCAGGAAAAACCAAGGGGATGATGGAAAGGGAAACTGTTAAGTGGTTAGAGGAGGAGCATGAAAGTCACTTCAGCAGCCCAAAGGAGCAACATTTCTCAGAGATGGGCAGATGAGGAAGTTAAGGGACAAGCCTTAGGATAGGCCAAGAGAGAGCCTAAATCTGTCTGTCTGTCTCCAAGGATGCAAGGGCTTCTGGGCTGCCCTTCACTTTTACTAACCAGCTCCGAAAGAAGAAGGGCCTATGAGACGCTCCTTTGAGACAGTCTGCTGGCAAGTGACAAGTGTTTTCAGTGTACTTTCATTTTGTTATCATCCATGGTAGAAATGTTTGCATTTGCTGACATCTACTGAGAAAACAAGGAAGTGCGGATCATGAATTTGACTAATTTTTCTTGTTTGTCAAGCAGGACGAACAAAAGCAACTAACCGTAGGCTTAGATGCAGGGGGTTTTTCAAATCCACCTTTGGTCATGAGGATGGAGCACCCGCATCAAAAATAGCAAGGGGGCTAGTATTCCCATCCAAGGAAGATATATACTTAAAAGCTTTTAGCTTGGAAAACTGGCAGAATGTAATAAAGTTTTATGCACTTGCACATAATGTAAAGAAAGCGAGGGAAAAACCACTTCCTCTCTCTCATAAGAGTGAAACCAGAGGTCATCCTGTGAAACTGAATGGAGAAATCAGAGGAAGCACTTCAATACCTGCTGGGTAATTAAACTGTAGGGATTTAATAAAAGATACAACAGCAGTTGCACAATTCAACAGCTTGAAAAGGAAGTAATACAAACTCAAGATGGAAAAGGTTGTCAATGGCTTCCAGCCGTAAATTACCTCCAATATTTAAGGAAGTATGTCTTTCAATACCCATTGCTGGGGATTATCACTGAGAGGGTTCCTATATATGTTGTGGACTTCCCACAATCTGAATGACTACTGTCGAAACACAGTGGTGGACTAATTTGACTAACCTGATTTAGAGGGATACTGTGTGTTGAATTCTTTCAAGACTGATCTACAAAATGACCAATGGGACTATATGATCAATCATCTCATAAACTAGAAAGGGACCAACTGTTTTGAGAAAAATATCTATCACTCCTTTAAACAACTGCATGAAAGATATTGAGTTGATTAAAGCTTTTCAATATGAAACAATTTTCTTACCTTCTTTGTCTCCCTTTTCATTAACGCTCCACCTTTTTTTTTTTTTTGCCATAACTTTGGGTCTTCTTCTCCTATTATGGTTTATGGATATTCTTTCCCAGGAAATGCTGTGTAGTTTATGACCCAACAATATAAAACTGCAAACCCTTACTCCAGTCATGACTACTTGGGAGGAGATGACTATTCTCCAGGAGAGCTCTAAAGAACTGCTAGATGTAATCAGAACTTAAGGCTGAGCTGCTGTTTCATTCAGTAATAGGGCTGGGATTACAAGGCAAACTGAACCAGAAAATAACCAGCTGCATTTTAGCTTATTCTGACATAATTGTGAGACAAATATTTAAGGTAATATAAAATTATATTTATGTGTATAATTAATTTTACAGACTATTTTACCATTTTATTGGTCTATCAGTTATTCAGAGTAGTTGTACATTATTCCAATTTTTAAATAAAAAAGACTAATTTCCACATCCAATGACTTTCAAATGACAGTAAACCTTACTTACCATTTGATCAAAACTGGTATAAATTAATTATAATACTTGTTGCATATTAATCAAGTTATACTTTATCCTAAGTAGGCTTATGTAGAATTGTTGACCAAACCTGTGCATTTTACTCAATGGCCAGTAAGTTTAACATGGTTTATTAGTCAGTGAATTCATTCAAAACAACTTACCTCAAGAGAAAGCTAATATAGAAAAATATCCCAAAGTTTGCAGAAACCCAGGTTCCAGGGATATAAATGATGGAATAACATTAGAGTACTACCAGGTGAGGTCTGACAAACACCCTTATCCAAAGATGGGGATTTAAAACAACAGGCTCCAAGAACAAGAAAGCTGGGGGAAAAAATGGAAAAGCCTATAGAATAAATACAAGTCCTCAAAAGGTCAAAGGATTACTCTTTCCCAACAAAAGTGTACCTTAAGAATAAATCAATCTAGCATTAGAATTAGGAAAAAGAAAATTGTACACATAGAGGTTTATCAGGGTTATCAGTCCCAAAGGGGAAAATAATAATTAGGCCACAGAGAGAATATAAAGATGCCAAAGTACGCAGCAAACAATTATAAATAAGAAATAAACCAAAGTTTTATGCAAAACAAGATGTGAAGGATCTATTAGTCTAGTGTTTCTCAACCTTGGCCATTTTAAGATGTATGAACTTCAACTGGCTGGGCAATTCTGGGAACTGAAGTGCACACATCTTAAAATGGCCAAGGTTGAGAAACACTGTATTAGCCATTTGAAAAAAAGATTCACATGAGGTCCAGCCTCTTGATCTATACATAAAATAATTAAGCCTACTGAATATGATCACACAGTATATTCCAAAATAATAAGACTGAAATTTTCTCTTCAAGTGGCAGCTAATGTCCAGTGGTCATGGAGTAAAGAACAGCTAATTGTGGGGCAGCCAAAGTATGTCAATTTGGGCAGGGCTAGTAAACAGTAAGACCTGAGTATTTTTCAGAGGGTCTGACGCATATCACAGGTATAGTAAGCAAACTATTTTTGAAACTAACAGAGCCCAAAGGAATCTTCCAAATTTCCCTTTGTCGACTGCAGCAGCAACACATTGATTAGAAAAGGCTAACTGAGGGTTGAGGAACATATCTTTAATTCACAAAGCAAACAACCACAATATAAGCCCACATTTATCAACCTACAGCAGGAACATATTACACAGAAAAGGTAAAAACAGGCCATGTTAATCTAAGACATCAATTTTTTTTAACAAACATTTGAGTAAACAATGTACTCTTTTGAACAAACATTTTTCTCTTTCAGTACCTACATAAATTGGGATAAACAAATGACCCTGAGTATCAAACTAGGATCTGTGTATGAGAGAGAGAAATGCAGCAGAACTCTCTTGATTTAATGCCATTATTTTGTTCCTCCAGTATTAACCCCTTTTACAGGAGAGGCAAACTGAAGGATGCTAATTCCTGATTACAAACTGAGGTAGAGAGTAGAATACACCAGACCTATACAAGTAACATGTGATTGAGCCCACATCCAACTACATTATAACAGCAGCCCATTGCATAGAAAAAGGAAAATTATATTCTAAAATAGTGCTAAGGACCAATTGGTTATATGCAATATGTATTTAAAAAGTGGCTATCTAGATAAGTCATGTTCTAAAGCTTATTGAAACAAAGCAAAGGTTTGAAAATATTAACTCAGGATTAGGAAATATTACAAACTGGATTTTGGAAAATTTGGAATTTGGATGGTTGTGTCATCACCATTCCTTCTATCCCTGCCCCATAAAACACAGGAATTGGTTTCTCAGCTGACGGCAAGTGGGATCTGAACCTTAGGTGGAGTGGTGTTTCCTTGACTGGGAAAGAATTACCATTATAAAAATGTCTATTCATTTGAAACATGCAGAATCTAAGGCTACTTAGAAGGTGGATGCTGTTAATTCCAGAGAACTGGAAGAAATTATATCTGAATGTGCACAGAGGGAAGTCAAATGTTCAACATCTGTTCTTGTCTTCGTGCTATGGAATTAGGAAAAAAAAAGTCTTAATCCACATAATAGAAGAGAATATGTGTAGTTCAGGGTTGAACTGTGGAGTCCTTGGGGTTCTCTGAGC